GGGGACAGAGACTGGAACGCGCAGCGGACCGGGGCTGCAGTGCTGATAGGCGATCCGACAGCTATGGGGTGACATCCCCAGCCCAGACCCGACTGACCCCACCCACCCTTACCCAGGGTTTGATAAACACAAGAATCTCCCTAAGAATAGCATTATTCAACACTTCCCCACAGACTTAAATCTAGAGACGTAGAAGGGAAAAATAGAGTGAGGGAAACTAGACGCCAAGCTTTCTCCGCCTCGGGATTTTTGCCAAGGATGGGCTCATCTGGTTGGTGTGTGGAAGCTGTAACATCTAAAGCCAGAACTCGGCTTGCTTTGTCTACACTAGTGAAATCTTTGAATCTCTGTCCCCCGCCCCCCCCCATGCTAACTGGCAAGAAAGCCCTGGACTACATTACCCAAGTCGTTTTGCAGTCCTGCAATCTCGAGTGTGCCACCATTATTCTTTACTAGAAATGAGATTGCTCAGAAACATCAAATTCAGAATGGGATATGGCAACATGATATTTCTGGAAAGATAAGTCTAATTTACTGAACGATTATATAAAACACAAAGTGTGTTGATCTCAGAATAACGCGAAGGTTCCCTTTAGTTGTTGGCATGCATTAGTGATACCTGATGCTTCAAAATGCACCAAACGAACTGCAAAATGATTTCGATGGTTGGATTTGTGCTTCTGAGTTTTAGGATTTTCAACCATACATCATGCTTGATGTACACAAAAAAGGCAAGCCCTTTCCCACAGGCTTCCCATCTTCACAGAAACCTAAGCCCACATAAGGAAAAGACCTCACTGTGCTTCATCGTGATTACACAATTACAGGTAAAACACTTTGCAGGAGCCCTTTGAAAAAATGGTTCAGGAAAAAAGCCTGGATTAAGGGTTATCATCATGTGCATAACGGAGAAAGTAGGCAATTGGCTTTTTGCTCCTGGAATGTATCCTGGGTGTAAAAAGCCAATTTTTATCAGAGGTCTGTGGAATGAAGGTGAACCCCATGTCTTCTGGAGAGACGTCTTTGACAGATCTTCCCCACAATCTTTATCGCCTAAATTGCTGCCACTAGTCCACTAATTGGCCATAGTATTTATCTAGCATGTTTACAAAAATCTTTTGCATCACAGATCCTACCACCTTTATGGAAATGTTATTTCACTCTGTTGCTTTATGTTCCACGACTGCCGTCGGTGAAGAAAGGAGGAAAAGGAGGGACTGAATGCTTACCTCATACCAGGCACTGTGCTAGTCACTTTAGGTGCATTTCCACCCCCACCCCCCCTCCATCTAGTCCTCATAACTCTGGGATTTTCTGTTATCCCCATTTTACCAGTGAGGAAACTAAGGCTTGTCGAGTTCAAGTAATCTTAGTAAAAATCATGAACCTGTAAACAGCAGAACCCGAGATCAAACCAAGGTCTAGTTAGCTCCAAACTCTTTGCTCTATTCACTGCGGACTAAAGTGGGTTCATTTACATCTTTCTTCATAAAGCTATGCTAATCATGATGTACTAGTTTGCTTGCCAAAGGATTTTCAGTTTCACATATTTAGAATATATTCCAGTGTTCTTTAGAATGGTGGATCTCAGTGTTTGAAATGCAAATTCTCAGGTGCCAGCCAGACCTACTGAACCCTGGAGCTGGGACCCAATAGCGAGCGCTCCAGACGATCCTGATCCACAGGAAAATTTGAGAACCACTGCTTTGAATAGCAAAGCTAAGCTGAATTGTTTTATTCTTTTTTTATATAGGGACGTTAGGGTCCTTTTCTTCAGGACATCTCTCCAATCTTTTGCCATTCATTAAAAAGGATCGTTTGTAGATACGCGATTCAAGTGCCAGGAAGGCCCAATATCACAGTTCCTTTGCCAATTCTGACTGACAGGCAATGTTGAGGCAAATGCTGAGCTCAAGTCTGTTCAATGGGAAAGAAAGCTATCGCCGAAATTAATTCCTGCCGCAGGTGCAGACGGGACATTTTTCTGAGTGTCAAACTGTGACACACATGCCACTGTTTGTCTCCCCCAACTTAGGACACATATTTCCTCTATAACAGAAGTTGCGCAAGCCTTCGAAAACGGAACATCTATCTCTTCCTCAAAAAATAATAGTCCAGTTCTTTCTCTATTGTTACCTCGCTTCACATCTTTCTGAGCCAGTTTTTTTTAACTATTTTTAAAGTAAAATTCAACCTTTTTTTTTCTTCAAGTTTCAAATACTTATTAACCAGTGTAAACCCCAACAACAACGCTATTCTGTGCATTTGAAGGGGAACTATTTCCTGGTTAAAAGGAAAATTGTGCGGATGGCTTGTGGAAGACCTTCATTCCAAGCAGCTTTGTAGTGAAACATTCCACTTAGAAGTCCGGGCATTCTTTATTCAGTCTACTGTAATCTACGTTCACTGAGCAGAGCCTGTACTGATCCTTGGGACCTAGTTTGTTCCGCGGTTCTGGGTTCTTCTTTCCCAATAGACATGCGGATTGAACAATGCCAAGCGCAAGACACACAGCACTGCCCCAGTACCTCCGGCTCCAATAACTACAAAGAGGGGGGTCAAGCTTGGGTGCCTCCTGGCCTGACGGGGATGTGACGGAGCACGGCTGCGGCTGAGGGCCCGTAAACTGAGAAAAACAAAACTGCACAACAGGGGAATAGACGGTCCGTCCGCGGAGGATGAGCCGACTCCAGAGTCACGCCCGACCTCGGGCTCCGAGGGCACGCTGCGGCCGGAGGGCCCGGATGTGGCTGTCCATAACAGTGCCTGCTTCGCCGAGCACCTCACGCGTCCGCTCTAACCAGACTAGACCTTCAGCGTTCCACTCCGAGGGAGGCTTTCTTATTCCCGTGCAACGTATATTCCTGAGGAGTGCTTTTTTTTGCCTCGAAACTGGACCGCCTGTATTGACTAGACAGGCACTTTCTCAGGAGGCCACATGTTGAGAGGGGGCCCGCAGGCCGCCCTCGGGGCCCTGCCCTCTCCGGGCAGGCAGGGCAGTTTCCCCGCTGGAGGCGGCGACCCGCTGGGTGGGCTCCTGCACGGTGGAAGGGCTTTAGTGCAACATCTTTGAGCGTTTAAAAAAAATTTACTGATTGATTTTAGAGAGAGAGAGAGANTTTTACTGATTGATTTTAGAGAGAGAGAGATGAAGGGAAACATTGATTTGTTGTTCCACTTGTATGTGTCCTGCCTGNATTTACTGATTGATTTTAGAGAGAGAGAGAGATGAAGGGAAACATTGATTTGTTGTTCCACTTGTATGTGTCCTGCCTGGGGAATTGAACCCCCAACCTTGGCGGGTTGGGACCATGCTCTAACCTGCTGAGCTGTGCTCTGACCAGCTCGGCTCTGTGGCCAGGGCCAAACATCTTTTATCTTTTAGCGGCATTCCATATTAGGAGAAATAATTTTCTTCTCCTTTATCTGATCTATTTACACATAGGCCAGGTGTTAGGGATACAAAGATAAGTAAGATATAGTCTGTCCCCGAAGATCCCATGCAGATATATTTCTACGGACTTCCTTGTATTTGGATTTCTTGATTTCTTTTTTTCTACCAACTTGCTGTGTTATTTTTTTCTTCTGCTCCTTGTGAATCTTTGATTTTTTCTTTTAATTATGGCGTTCTAAGTTGAATTTTACCATTCATAATATGATGGAAAGAAATAATTTGATCACTTATGTTGATGTCATTAAGTCTCAACTGTCTATGAAGCAACTAAGAACTTAAAAGAAAAAAGAAAGGATGAGATAATTAGGCCAATAATTACCAGGTAGCCCACCGGTGCACAACAGTGCAGGCACTTACAGGACATTATCTAAAGTTCTCACTTAGACTATTTGCTTATTCTTTCAAATATACCATGATTTCTGTGTAGTCATCCACTTACCCAGCCCACAGTCAGTTAAAAATAAATCACAAGGCAGGGGAAGGAAAGGCTGTTGATAGAGACACTTTGAGAGCCACGATCACTATTGGTTGGCAAAATAAGTACAAGAAAGAAAAGAAAATTGGAAAAATGGAAGAACTGAAAGTGCACAGTAGTCTGAGGCAATCTGTTACGTTGAACAGCCCTATATATTCCTCTGGGAATATGATAAACAGCCCACAAGTCTCTGCCATCTGAGAATGTCTACCTGGTATTTGAAGGTGTTACAGCAGAGTCACAGCCGGGAAATGTTCAGGACAAGTGGAACGGGGAAACCGAGACGGACGGTTGAACTGCAGTCTGTGGCCACCTAGTGAGTCCTATCTTCCCTAAACTAAGGACACTGACGAGTCAATGGCTTGCACTTCTCTGCCCCAACCCGAGAGAAAATAGCTTAAATCACTCTCCTC